GTACAAGTACAGATGAATGAGAACAGGACGTGAATGACGACAGCAAGGGCAAACCGAAACGATATGCCTGGGGCTACCGGACGGGTCAGAACACATGGTAGTACAGATATTCAGACTAAAGGAGAGCTGGCCATCCAGGAAGATGCGTCTGGGTATAGGAGACGAGTATCAATATCATCAAGACGTGGAACGACGACGTTCATGAACATCTCGCGCAGAATGATGGTTCGGAATGGTGAAAAGCGGCCATCGCGAGGCTCTGAAAGCAGCGAGGTCTTCATCCAGCCTTTGCCACGGTTCCTGAGGCACACAAACAAGCGAGATGTCCGAGGGGGAGATAGGCACTCCAAGGATAGGCATGATGGAGTGCATCGCCTGTACTGCGTCGCATAGAGAAGTGGCTAGACCACTCAGCCCGAACGCACGTTCGACGAGAGTCTTCGCGAACTTCAACTTGACTAGCAGGTAGAGTAGTTGGCGAGCGGCAAGGCTCTCTCGCTGTGCCAAGACTTTGTCCTTGATGGCTTTCAGCTCGACTCGCATTCTTCCGACTATCGCGATCTTCTCGTTCATATCTCTACGCAGGTTATCGACGCCCGTGGTGGTTGAGGCAAGCTCCTCGTCCGTCACTAGCATGTCCTGGAAGCCTATGAAGACGCTCACGCCCATATCGATGGCGCAGAACACTGCTGATAGCCATGGTACGAAAGGTAAGGTAAGCAGCGACTGTGCAAGCCCAGCCTCCGCGTTAGCATCGATGAACATAGACGTCTGTGCAGCAGTGCCCACGGCGGTACGTGCACCTATCTGGACGGCTCTGCGTCTGCGAAGCGTTCTGCGCTCTCCGACGAGGGTGTCGCGGGCCTCGAAGACTTGCTTCGCTTCTGCCAGCACCTCCTTTATGTCTTCCTCAAACTGACCCAATGCATGATCACGCTGACTGAGCAGCGCCAAGTGGATATCAAAAGTATTCTTGCAGTTCAGCTTTGGGAAGATGTAGCCCGGCGCCTGAGATATGGTCATGATGGCATGTTCAAGGCTCTGTGCGGTTCGTATCTGAGCATTGCGGTTACGACAGCGTGTGGATATGCATGCAACCCACCATCATCATGTAGCCTTGAAGGATGATTATGTCGGTTTTCTTGGATAGTGTGCGTGCCTCTTCTTCAGGAGAAGAGATACGCCCATCATTCTCGATGAGAGAGATGACGGTCTTCCGTATTTTGACTAGGCTTCGTTTGTATTGATCTCGTACTGTATCCAAGATCTGATCGAGGGCCGCAGGTTCCAACAGGCTCTCTTTCGAATGTGACCCTGTCGAACGACTATTGTAAGGGCATCGACTCACCACAACCTCTTCATCGAAACACTTACAGCATAAACAATCAGGCTCCATGCCTGTTGCGCGAGCTGACGAAGCGCTCGGCCAAGCAGGGTCCTGCGTAGCCGATAGAGTGGACGAGAAAGGCAGATATAAGGATCCTTGGGAGACGGCAGTGGTTGTCGCCAGATCGCTGTTCATTTGTCAACCTAGGTACTGGCTTAGAGCGGGATACTGTCCACCGCCGTGTTGCTAGCGGGGTTGATGTCGATGTTATACCAGTGCCACCTCGCAATTCGAGGTTTGCCGTTTCTTATGAGAGCGCGACGAGTGATTGCTGTAGCTCTTGTGTCAGTATGTGCTACTTCACGATCAAACATGACAAGACTTCGTACTACCGTCCACCAACATTATCTTGCTCTACACGGGTAAGCGAGCTCGCCGTAGTCCGCACACGCCGTGTCGGGACGACTCGGACGTCACAACGTCGGTCACGGTGCGACGATGCGCACCCGATCAGCATGGGAAACACGTGATCACCTCGGATCTCAGATCCACGCAGTCCGCAACGAGTCTCGACTCAAGGTCAGTACAGTATTTACGCGAGTCGCCATAAATATCTGCAGACCTTTAAACCCCAGCAATAACCAGCGCGGCGAAGATGGAATATACAGACGCGCATACTCACCTGACGAGTTCAGGGGCAACCTGAGCCTCCACTAGCAAGGTTCGGTGGGGTTGGGTGCAGGTCAGATCTGGACGGCAGATCTGGACGGCCAATCCGGCCCGCCTGTCGGTCGGTACAGCGAAAGAGCTTCAGATGTTGCACTTAGTCGTCACCATGGATCGTAACTTGCTGTCGCTGGCAAGGGCAAGGTCGGTCTCATGACCATGTTCGTCCGTACTGGAAAGAAGGGGCTCATTAATGTCAATCATGGTGACTGGAGGAATCGACGGCATAGGAGGAGCAGTTACCATTGTGATCAGACATCACGGGCCAGTCCAGGTGCACTCGCTTCTCGTCAGGCCATAGCGCTAGCAAGACAAGGTACGACGAACATTCAGAAATGAACGCATTTGATGTACGACATCAGTGGTCACTGGACACATCCCTCTTCTCCGAACGAATGTTCGACTCTTCGCCGTGGCGTACAATCCCCCGGGCCGTTCATCAGCTCGTGACCGCCGCGAAAGACATATATGACCACGATGGCAAGGCCACGAACCCCGTTCGTTTGCGGACCTGCGGTGCAGACCTATGCGTTTGGCCTTTGAAGCACTGGTCGGCGCGCTCCTTGGAGCATGGTTGACCTGCGCTGCCGCCGTGCTAGATAGAGGGTTGGGCAAGACCTGTAATTTGCGGCCCCTTGGTCATGGAAGGGATGATACCGACCAGGTACGTCCTTCCCTTTCTACCCACATGTTCCTGAGCTCATCTTGAAAGCACTGCAGGTTGAGGCTGCCATCGCGAAATGTGGCCACTTTGGGACGACGGTCTTCGGACCAGGGCAGTACAACGTCACCAGGTCGGTCCCCGCCAGCATAACACAATTGGCATTCCGATTAAACGAGCTGTAGAAAGATGACATGGAACCTAGTCTCGTCTCGAGTGGATATGCATGGCTACCTGAATGTAAGTCCCCCTCAACTCGAAACACCCATATTAGGCTCACCTTCCTCGTGCAGTTCAAGCCGGACCCGGAGTACTGGCTCAACGCCGAAAATACTTACCGCGTCATCTTTATTCAGAATCAAGCTTCCTGGTTTGTGATCACGGGTCATGACTTCGTCGTGGATGCTCACGGCGCCGGTGGGATCAACGGCAACGGCCAGACGTGGTGGTCGTTCTACGGCAACCGTTCGCGTTCGGATGGAGATGGTCGCCCTGTCTCGCTGACTCTGTCGAACGTGACGAGGGGCGTCATCAAGGACTTCAGGATCGAGGCGCAGCCGTTCTGGTGCAACGCCGTCGCCGACTCGAAGGACGTCGTTTATGATGGCATGTACTGCAATGCGACGAATCAGGACCCTTTATATTTGGGGCAGAAGTGCGTGCGCGTTACAAAGGCAATTCCAAGGGCTCTACTGACTAATTATACAGCGTCGTTCCCAATACCGATGGTACTGCAAATCGATATCCGCGCCAGTTCGTAACGCTGATGTCTTGCAGGAATCAATACCTATCGCTCTGACAAGATTTCGCTCCTCCGCTTTGACGTCAGTTGTTCCTGTTCCGACTGCAAGCGCGACGCTGAGTGTTCTCTAGATTACTTCTGGCGACGATTGTCTTGCTATCAAAGGCGTGCGTGTACTGAAGCACACGCTACGCTCGATTGAACACTCATCGGCATGTGACAGAATTCGACGAATATCTTTGCCCAGGATATAACCTGTCGCGGCGGAAATGGAATCGCCGTTGGTTCTCTTGGACAGTACGTCGGCCTCGTGAGTAACTTGCATGTCGCACCATGGTCTTGTGTCTTATCATGCCCCATTCCCATTTTCAGCCTGACATAGTCGATAATTTTGTCATGGAAGACCTCAAGGTTCGTTCTTGTGTAGATTTTCCAGCATGACAGGACCTGAAGTCTGCTGAACCTGCAGATGATCCGTCTTGACCCGAAAGTCCAGCCCAATATGGTCTCCGGGGTTTATTTGAAGACGTGGACGGGCACTGTCCATGGTTCCCCCCCGACTGGTGGAGGAGGCGGCGGAGGTGTGTAAATATGATTTGGATACGTGTGGCCTGTCATTCTAACGAGGAACTTGATGGCTACTACGACCATGCTGCATACAGGCTTCGTATCAAACGTTGTAGCAAAGGGCGTGTCTGTAGACCGTGTCACAGTGCCCATCCATCTCTACCAAACAAACGGCGGACAATCGTGAGCATCCCTACACGCTCTCGCTCACGGAAGACTTGCTCATGTTGTGTGGCAGAGGTGACGCGCCGTCGAGACTGCAGTTCAGCAACCTCACGTTCACCGATTGGACGGGCACCTCGCAGCGCAACACCAGTGCGTCTCTTCCCGCGTTTGGCGCAAAGTCGTCTGTAGTAGATTCCCTAGCTAACCGTGTGTCTGCAGTTGTGGACATTGAGTGTAGCCCAGCAGTGCCGTGTCCGAACATCCGCTTCCATGACATCCGCGTCGTTCCGCCAAACGGTACCGCTCCCAGCTACAAGTGCGTCAATGTCGCAAGCGAGTACGGGCTGCCTGGTAAGTCCATCTCTGAATCTCGCCCTTATAGGCTGTGCACTCATGCACTGACGTCTCAGCATGCAACGCGACTGGGGCTGCTTGATGGTCCCTGTGACCCTTTCTGTCACTCCCACTAAATTCTGTGCTGATTGCGTTGGCATGCTTGGGACTCTGTCCGTACTGCGTACGGTGAAATTGCGGATTGATCATGAAGGTTACGGCACGGGTCCGTTCTGTCTAACGGTCTTAACATCTTTTGACAAACTGTCTATAACAACCGTACTGGAACCCAATGACTCTAGGCCTTTTCGATCGCATACCGTGGCAATGGGCACGCTAGTGACCGCGCATATCGAACCGTTACATTATGAAGGCTTCTGGGGTAATGCTGTCCAATCCCATGTGTTCTATCCTGTTTCATTCCTTCGCGGGGCCATCTGGAATTCAAGCTGAAACGAAAACTGCGAGTGTATCACGCATTACCAGTAGTCGACTTGAACGACTGACCTCGTCATCCCCCGGATATCAAACAGTACTTGTGAGGCGCTCTACCGAATGAGCTAAACGGGTCATTAGTTCCTTCCACGCTTTCTCCAGGCCGCACTTACTACAGCATCTACCAGGGGTTCCCGCAAACGCCGTCCCAGCCATTCACTGCCTCCTATCCGCAACATCATTTACACATCGTATACCTGCAGCCTCCGTATTTACACAGTGAGTATTCTGAACGGATCCGATCCCCCGCCCTCCAAACCCGCCAAGACCGCCTGTCGGACCGCACTAAGGTAGTCGCCCAGCCGCCGCCCAGGCTGGCTCGAGAAGTCGTCATATAGCCGGTAGCGCGAGTCCGCGACTATGTTGACCAGCAACAGCGCGTGTTTAAGGTTTCTGCAGGTGAAGAGTCAACGGATCGAATCGAATGAATGTGGATATGTGGTTAGTGTTGTGCGAGGGGAGATGGTGAGGAAGGGGGAGAGGACGGTGGAAAGGGGACGTACTCGGGTACCCTGCTCCGCGAGTTGACGAGGGTTGAGTGAAGGCGGATGATGAGCTCTGGAACGTAGATCTGGCGAATGCGCACCAGGTCGTGGTGGCGCTTGACGCCTGCGAACGGTTTTGAGTCAACGTACGACCCCTGAGGTGGGAGCAGGACTCACTGCCCGTACGCGTCTCCGAGTCCGAGACGAGCCAGTCGGTTGTAAGCAGCTTCACGACCAGTTCGTGCGCCTGCTCTATTAACGTCTGCAACGCAAATCAGCATTATAGGTATGACTGTCCCACCACGACAGGCAGATGTGAACGAACTTTGTAGTCGCTCAACCACGCGGCGCGTGTATCCTTGTTCATCTGCGGCTGCTCGAGCGCCTCGCACTCGACGACGCGCGCGAGCGCGTCCCAGACGCCAAAGAATTGGCGGTAGTGCATGTACTCTGTTGCCTCTTCTTCGGGCTCGCGGAGAGTGCCGAGCTCGGGTGGGAGCATGTCTAGGAGAGTCTTTACTACTTGCACGCGGCCGTGGCCTGCACACATTGGCATTGTGCGTGAGACATTTGGAAGTTGGAAAGGAATGAAGAAGAGCGAATTAGAGGCTCAACCCACCAAGGAAGTAGCGAAGAATGACGTTTGCTTGTTCAAGGGCAGTGTCGTACGTCGACTCTAGGAACGTCGTCCACTCGATCGACCGTACAAGCAACCACTCCGGCTCGGTTGGCGGAGGCTCCATCCCCGAGATGAACGGCAGCGGCCCTTTTGTAGGCGGCAAGATCTGCAGAGCACACAATTCAAGTGACGCCATGTCAGAATATGCAACAGATATTAGGAAGAGAGAGAAGGCCTACGGAGAAAGCCTTTTCGATTGTGCGCTCAGCAGTGACGACTGCGACGCGTTCGATGTCCAGCCCATGCTCTCTCGCACGCGTAAGCGCAAGCCGCCGTTCGTTGATGTCAGCCGAGAGCTCGAGTGAGGTAAGGAAGAGCGCGTAGCGCTCCACGGCATTGTCGCCAAGGGCCCCGGCGTACATTGCGATGAGCTCGCGCTGTCCCGCTACCTGCAGAGAAGGGGACGTAAGCGGAAACCGGGCATGACAAGATGACGAAAATGTAGGCAATACCTCGAGAACCTGTAGATATGCCTCCAGGATGATCTGCGTAGCAAAAGGCGAGACCGGCATGTCGATCATCTGGAGGAAGAGGCACAAGTGGGCAAAGAAGCGTGTCATGGTTGTATACCTTTTCAAACGATGAGATACGGTACTTCAATTGTCAGGGAGGCACTTACTCAGGCGACGAGATGTAGGTTCCCTCTTGCAATCCGCTGGCGAAGGCTTCGAGCAGCGCATCTGTCCGGTCAAGGATGATGTGCAGCTGCGACACATGGTAGGGATTGTCTGCAGGAGCACTGCGGGAATTCAGCATGTACACCTGCTGGCTTCGCTTTTGGCGTCTAGCTTACCCCTCTGCTACCTGCACGTTCGCGAGGCCTTCCAAGGCTTGGATGACTTCCTGTTCCCACTCCTCCTCCGCTTCTGTCTCCGCATTGCTTGGCACAAGCGACGCTGCGCCGCCCTCGAGCGCACCCAGCCCGTTCTCCCAGAAACACTCCCGCTCAATCACAGAAAGCCCGGCGCTGAGCCGTTCTTCGCACGCGAGGCTGACGAGCGTCCATAGATGATCCTCCCATGTACGTGCGACGGCCTTCAGCGAGATGGCGGTCTGTGCGGTGGGTGCGAGTGCGGCGTAGAGAGCGCGTTCGGTAGGTGATAGGGAGTTCTGTCATGCGCATGAATGTGGGTGAGTCTAACGAACGGAAAAGGAGGGTGGAAAGCGCAAGAGGAACATACACTAAGCGCGGCTTGGGAGCAGACCTTCTTCCATAGTCGCCTGCGGACGTTTCCTCGCCACTGATGCGAGTCCTCCGCGTCTTCGTCGTCCATAGTGTCCGCTTCTCGTGGCTCGTTGGCTGCGACGACCGGTCTGCACAGTTTCCAGGGAGCCATGAGAGGACGCACCTATTGCCCGCCATTGGAAGAGCAATGCACCACGTATGCTTGCCGCCCGCCAGGGCTGGTTGGCTTTCCTGCAGAGCTCGACCGCCTCCTCGAGCTGGCCCGCACGAACGTGGGCATACAGCGCTTGCAGGACCGCCTTCTCGTATGCCTGGAAGGTGAACCTCAGGGTGAGCCAAAGCCGTTTACCTCAGAGACACGTCACAGAGAGTCATGCAACTTGTCGCGCGGTGCGTGGCGGTTGACACAACCTCTGTACGAACGGTTGCGAAGAACAGCACTTACAGCATCGTCAGGAGCGAGACCCTTCTCCTCCACCCCATCCCTATTCACTGCATCGGGATCTAGTTCAGTAACGAGTCCGGCACCTGTCCTTCCTGTGCGCTTTCCCTGCAAGAGTGCGTTCCGCGTGAACCGCCAGTAGCCGTTGGTGGCGCCAGGGTCAAGAGCGACCGGTGAGGGGGCGGAGTCGTGCAGCCACTCTCGCACAACGACGAGCTCGGAGAGAAGAGGAGAGGAGTGCATGATGGATTGGGCGAGCGTGGCGGGTGGCGTGTAAGGGTTCGCGGCGAGCAGCTCGCGTGGATGGGGGTACTCTGGCGGTGTTGATTTGCGTAACCTAGGCATGCTGAGGGGATGGTCGTGGACAAAAGAGCGACTGGACGTACGACATTAGAGCTTGCAGCAAAGCCCAAGTGTCGCTCTCCATCTTGAGCGCGTCCAGTTCGGAGATGGAGACTGAGCCATCGGTCCCTGCGCTGTCATGTAGTTCTGCCAACCTGGAGCCTCATTCAAGTGTAACACTCTCATGCTTAGTTTGATCACATACTGAGCCTCGCATAGCTGCTGTAGCCTTGGCGCAAAGCCGGTCTCCGGATGGAGGAGAGCCTCGAGGTTGTCCTTGTTCGCCTGGCAGACTGAGAGCACCTCTGCACAAGATGCGAACAGCGAGTCTGACATCAGCCCCCTAGTATAGCAGAACTCGTCTCCCGTTGAGTGGTCGTCGTTGCAAGAGCGCGGTAATAAAGCAAGCAACTACGGACGGCAAGGCAAAGACGGACCGCGGGACTCGAGAGAGATGAGAAACAAGTGGGCTGTAGAAGCGCCCGCGACGCGTGAACGCGCCTGTGGCTGGGCGCTTGGTATTCTGTTGCGTTCTTAACGCTTTCTAGGCCTCCGAGTCCCACCCGAGCCCCTGGACTTTGTGCAGCTACGTATCGGGAACATTGCTTGAATGCACGTATCTATGTGGCAGAATACAGGGTGGCTGAGCAATCCTGCGGTCTCTTCTGAGCGGGAGGTTGAGTTGATCACATGACATAGACAGCAGCCGAGATGCATTCCCACCGCAAAAACGACTTGTCGGCTCTCAAGCTCAGCCTTGGTCTTCTTGGAACGACTAGGCTGGCTTGTGACCCAGATGGAAGGCATTCTCCATCCCGATGCGTGTTATACATCAAGCCGCCCACCTCCTGGAGCATCAGGGAGGACGCTACCTGGCTCCTCAGCGTGCGCTTCTGACAATCTCTTCCGGGCTTTGCTAGGCTGCCACAGATGGCAGATGGCAGCGACTTAGTGCTGTCTGCTACTGTCTGCGTGTAGACGCAGGCAGGCGAAGACATCACCAGCTGTGGGCTACTCTGCCAAAGGCACCTTGACTTCGCAGACCTGGCGGTCGGTTCCTGGGACGAAAGCCGAACGCGGATACTATTGGTTTCGCAAAGCCGCCAGTGCTCTCCGCCGGCCTGCAAACTGAACCCGACCGCGGCTGCTAGGAAGGACCCTTGGAACACCGTGCTCTACCGCCCTCGTCTCGGTTTCGCTGGACCAGATTCGGACATACAATCGCATCACATCATCTCAAACCGGTGTACACATTCGCAAACAATCGGCACTGTCCTGTCTCCACTACGACTCCAACGACTCCCGCGCTCTGGCCTCTCCCCGTCTTCTCGTGCTCTCTTGCGCCTAGCTCTTCGTAAAAGTCGGTGCACTTCTCTCTCAGAGTTGGGCAGGAAGGCAGCCAATCGAGACGAGTCCGCCTGCAGTCAGCGTCAGCGCCTCATGCCATACAGTCCACTCAAGTTTCCTCGTCTCGTCTCTTACCGACGCTATTGTCCTCGCAGCAGACGGTATTGGCAGAGCTGTACGCTACTCGTCAGAAGCGTTGACGACGTCAAGCGAAGAGACGGTTCTTACCAAGCGTTGGAGCTACCGACGCCGACGACGCTGATGGGCGAGCAGGTAAGGCCGACAGGGACGTTGAGGTCCTGGAGGACGATGCCGAGGGCCGCGAGGATAGGTGCGACGGCGAGGCTGTCAGCGGCCTGTACGGACTGGCAGCACTGCAGCGCCCCGGTGGTGCACGAGTCGTCGTTCGGCGTCGGGATGGCGACGGCAAGGATTGCGAGCGCGTGCAGGGTCGTGAAGGCGGTGATGATCTTGGACAACATGGTGAGAGTGCTTCTCGCTCAATGTAGAGATCCTTGGCTTGAAGGACGGTGAGCTGGAGGTGAGGATGAGTACCATAGTCCCAGGCTTTTATACTTCGAGCAACTTTGCCTG